AGACGGCTGTAAAGGGCACTTGTTGGTACAATTCTTGACGACCCATTTGCGTTGGTGTCAAATAACTCGGCGAACCATCGGCACTGACACTGTAGCTCTTGGGCAATCCTTGCACATTGGGGGCTGACTTGAAATGAAAGCTACCCAAACTGGAAGATCCACCCAAGGCACCAATGGAAGCACTGCGGCCTGCTTTGGCCAGCTCAGAGCCTGCATTGGGTCGATCGTTCAATCCTTGTTGGTAATACTATTTCACGCGAATACAAATAGATGAAGAAAAAGGTGTCAGATACCACGCCCTCGATTGATTCCAGTGGGGCCCGCCTTGAGCACAACACATGGCAAACTACACTAACCTGGGCATTCTCGCCACTCAAGAGCCTCGTCTGTTCATTGGAAGGCATGCTGCTTTCTATGAGTAGCTAGCTATAGCCAACTATGTTGCTTCTGGTGCCTTCGCTCAACAGATCCGAGAAAAAGTGGGAGTGTCTCGATATCTGTGAACTGGTGCACAGCGCCGTGGTACCGCTGTTACCAAAAGATCTCGGGCGGCTTCCTAGATAGAGTCGAGTCTGGATCCTGAATAAAAACAAAAGATCCCGTGCTGATGCCGATGCCAACGACGTGTCAATAAAGATTCTCAGATTCGTGTTGGAACGTGGGGGAAACCTCGCACGCGGATGGATCAGAATTTGCCGGCCGTCCCTGTCTTTTTCCACAGTTCTGTCTTTTTCCACAGCTTATTCCACAGACAGCTCGAGCAACTTGCACGGCAGCTACGGTACCGAGAAGCCAGAAGATGTTTCCAGAAGATGTTTCAGCAATGCACATCGTTTGGTGACGGAACTGCATTTTGGTGAGCTGGCACGCCCGGCCCGGCCCAGCTCCAGAGGCACGAGGTAGGTCAACTCGACCTTCTTGCTCTCTTCTAAAATAGAAAGCCTACGCATATAATGCGTGTGAACAAGCTAGCAGCACCTGGCACCTGGCTGGCACTTGCTGCGACTGCCTACAAGCAACAACTTGAAAGATTGATTGATTCCATCAATCTCCCTTGAAGCCATTTCTACCGTACCGTATGGCGCAGTCGGCTGCAGAATCTCAAAAACACGATGATGTCCTTGCTTTTTTCACTCCCCCGGCAAACGCCGCCGATCATACGGTATACTCTGTGTTGCATTCAGATTCATTCAATCCTAGCCCCAGACCTGCGCTTGCTGGCATCGTCATACGGTACTTGATCTATTGGGGAGGGGCTCTATCGTTAGCTGCACCGGTACAGTACAGTACCAGGACCGTTCGACGTTTTTCACAGGCTTTAAAACTTGACACGACTGACTCCAGTACAATTAAGGGCTTGTTTTTTAAGGGCTTGTTTAAGGGCTTGTTGAAGGTTTAAGGGATTGTTTTAAGGGCTTGTTTGCTCCTAATAAGGGCTTGTTCTATGGGGTTTACACGAAGGCTTAAGGGTTTGTTTTGAGAACATAAGGGCTTGTTGTTAAGGGTTTGTTTTTTAAGGGCTTGTTTAAGGGTTTGTTGAAGATTTAAGGGCTTGTTTAAGTGCTTGTTTCCAGTAGTGTACATTTGAAGTTTTTTAAATCCTGAGTGAAAAACGTCGGACGGTCCAGGGACTATGATAGTACTACACTGTAGTACCATACTGGTACACGTAGCAGCGTCGTGGGTGTAGTTGTGGTAGAAAAATGGATCCACGTCGTGGTCCACGTTCCACGTTCCACGCTATAGTTTTTCGATCCACGCTATCAGAGCACCGCTGTCCAACGCTTGCTTGACCTCACAGCTGAAATAATGCATCGTTGAGTTTGCATGATGACACTATCAGTGTCATCAATGCTTTGAAAGACATTATTGCATTTTAAAATTAAAGAGCCAATGGGTAGGTTGCCACGATGGTCATGAAGACTGGGAAAAGAAATGTTTTGCACTATTTTTCTCTTCTTGCGAGAACGCAGCAACTACTAGCAATTGAAAGGCTCACAATTACGGTAGGTCGAAAGAATCCAACTGACAGCTATGAAGCATGAAAGACTTTCTGGAAAAGAAGAACTTTATCTTGAAGTGGAATGATGTGTGCAGGAATCTATGGAAGACTTCTGCCAAGTCTCAATTACCATGGAAAGGGAAATCATGATGTGCCTGCGCTGTTCCTTTTTGTATGCAAAAAATACAGCTCTTTGCATTTCAGAGGAGACAAGCATGCCAGGAACAAAGCAGAGTAGGGAGCCAACTTTGGGCAAGACTGAGAGCAATACCAGGCGACGCATTGACTGATCAAGTATGGTGCAAAACTGAAGCATCACTGTGTTGTGCTTGGCTGGACTCCTTCTCGGGAGGATCTGAATTCTTTATCGTTGCTGCCTTGTGTTCACGAGCATTTGTGTCTGTGATTCTTGCAGTGGGACTACCGGTACGCTGTTTCGTTGAACTCTTTTTTTCTTATAAGCTACCGGTATCCATCAAATTCAATCGCTACAGGCAACTCAGTTACATTTTGCACCCGATAAACCACGCTGCAGTACTCTAGCGGGGAACATTGGACCACCACTCTTTAGAATACCATCCAAGGACCCTGCAGCAACCGCACATTTCTATCCGGCCAACCGACTGTTCCATCGCCAAGGACATGCCGCACATTGTGCGTCCACAGCTTTTCTCGTACTGAACAGCTCGACTGCCGTATAGAGCAGAGTGGAGACAATCACTCCGCATCGATGAAATCAAGATCCGACCCTTCAAAGCGCGCACGCTTGGAAATACATTCGACCATGTAGTAGCTCAAGATCGTCCCGGTATCAAGATCGCCACTAGGTGGATCGACTTCCCACTTGAGGTTGTCAATCATGTTCAACAAATCTGCTGTGAGCTGGCAAGGGGCATAGGAGATGTTGCCATCTGTGATGTGAGATTTTGCAAATTTTACTTTTCCTCCGTCTTTCGGAAATCCCAAGGCGTGAATATGAGGCAAAGCCTTCATATCCTTCGGGCAGAAAATAGTGGCCTCAAGAGCTGCATCAACTTCAAAGTCGCTTTCATTCACCATCCTCCAAAACACTTTCGGCGAAAAGTCAATAAGGTTGATCTTGCTTGCACAAAGGTGACTGGCAACTACCTCGTAGAACCCTGCTCGGCCAGTGTGGACCACAATGACAGCCACAGGGTTCCAACCGCGATTGTAGACGCATGCAAGCACTCGCATCATCCCTTGTGCGTTCGGTGTCTTGCCAATGGTATCAACCACATCCGCATCCAAGACGCCTGAATGAGCAAGAGACAGGTCTTTTGTCCCATGGTTGTCGTCGTCAATGGGCGCCTCTCCTTCTACCTCAAAGAGGTAGTGGTTCAGTGTGGTCTTCCCTGATCCCTGGGAGCCCATCACGACAACTACATTTTTACGGCCGTCTTGGGTTTTCTTCAGAGCATCTCGAGCATTGCGCAGATGATACAGGAAGTCTTTCGAACGCTTTAGCTGGGCCTTCAATTGCTCCACCTCTTTCTTCAGTTCCGCTATCTGACTGCTGTACAAGAAAGGAAAGATTTCTGGCAGAACACTATGTACGGATCCCATTGTGACGGGCTTCAGTCCTCCAGTCGGGCTCAGGGTGCTTCCAATACTAGTAGCTAGCTATCAAGTAATTGGCGATGTGTTCAGCTTGTTTGGCAGCTCTCGAAGCGAAGCAAAGATGCTCTGACATGTGCTAACAATAGCCAGTATCATACAGTACTAGTCGCAGCAAAAGTCAGACTTTCATGTACCCTGACCGCAAGATCCAGACTTTCGTGCATACGTTCGACCCGCTGGCCTGGCTGAGCACTTGCGAAGGTTTGCCTCTGTGTTTTCATCGAAAGTTCGTTTGTACGATCACATACACGTGTACCGGCTCGCAGTACAAGGTACCGGTACCGTTGTCGCAGTAGATATGAACTATTGCCAATATGGAGTCTAAAGATTTGGAATACGAGTACGGTACGTAACATTGTAGCCATGGATTCCAAAAGGACTTGTATTGTGTCCAGTGCCCGTTCGCTTCATTCACGTGTCGACTGAAGCGCCCAGTTTCGCTTATTTACAGAGGACGACGTCTATCCGACGATCTCTTTGGTGTCTTCTGGTCTTCCACAAGTTGCATTTTGTCAAAAGGAAAGTCTCGTTGTGCATTGTAGTACATTGTCTGATCCCATCGTGTCATCATTCGAATCTGATCTATACTTCTTGGACCAAGATCCGATCTGGTCACCTTATCCGGTGACTTGTTTCGGTGTCGAATGTTTTGTGCAAGCAAATGGTTTGCGTCGCCATTGGTTCGACTCGATTTCACAATTGACCTAAGCAAGGGAAAAGTTTCGTTGCTAAGTGCGGCTGTTGTACCAATCCAGTCCATTTCCTCCCAGAGAGTTTCGTAAGCAGCCTTGCAAAGAGGCAGCACAACAGTTTGCTGCGCCATCTTGTTGTGAAAGATCACATCTCCTTGTACCAAGAAGCCGCACTGTGGATTAACCACTGCGTGATTCAAAAGGTCAAATTCATTGGCTGTATCGTAGTATTCAAAGTGCTCGTCTCCATGATCCATGCCGTGAAAGAAGTTGAAAAAGCTCAGGGCGAACGACACTGGTTCTCTCAGGACGGTAAAGGCGAAAAAGGGCACATTATTGCGTTCCGCGATCTCTCGCCATCGATGGAGTCGTTCCCTCATTTCGAACAGCGGTGGGCTATCATAAGCGTGCAGCTCAAAAACCACGACTTGACCATCGGTTCCATACTTGAGATACTTTGCAAGAGCCTTCTTGTGCTCGTCAAACTTT